TTCCTACAGATAAGGTATGTATTGATTGCAAGTGTTTTATAGAACTGCAGCCAATCATGTAAAAGGTCTGTCTACCCCAAGTCTATAGATTCATTTCAGTTGGGTACCACAAACAAGTGGTTAAATTACAATGTGGCTACCGAAATATCCTAGTGGTATAGAAATTTAATTAATTAATTATTAGTGGTAATAATGGGTCTATTGAATATAGGTGTATGAATATTACATATTTGATTTTTGGTTTAGGACTTGTTGTTGGTATGCGGGTTAAACTGGTGTTCGACCCTAAGTTTTTAATTTAAAAAACATGTTCGGAATATAGGAAAACGTTACAACCAAAGCAGACCAGACACAGCTAGTTTCTACGTTCTGAAACCGAAATAACAGAACATGAAAACGTAAATTTATGAAACTGCCTTAATTCAATTTCTTTTTATGTTTTCCAAGTACAGTCGAATGCTGCTTAAAGTGTTTATGGAAGTAGGCCATATTGACTTGATACGTCGTAATTTTGTGCAGTTATAATACCCAGTGTTTGTTCTTAGGACTTGAATAAATACCTATATCGAAGCCGATCGATATCACCAAGTCATATACTTGAAGAGCCAATTCCAATTATTCCTCAAAACCACTCGGCATTTCTTCGCTCGCAAAGTATAAGAAATATTTCTCTAGACGTGTAATTTAAATCAGAACATTTCAATGATGATTACAATTAACCAATTAACTGGTAGCAAAGGTCGCATCTATTGTTGTTCTATATATTCGAGGCGAAAACGTAGAGAATAAGAGATAGAATGTACACCTAATGTAATAGCTGCACTTGAGATGAAGCATAACTTATAAATGCTAAAGTTTAATTATAATTATAATTATAACCATAGCACTAAGTAATTCGTTCTAAACAAGTATTTTCGAAGTTCTTGTCATACCAAAGTTGAACGATGCTGCAATTTAATTGTTCTCTGCTTGGTCTAATATCTGGGAAATAATTCAAGATTACCTCTGTTCGTCCTTTGACCTCATAGAGGAACAGTATAACAGGATTCGTCGAGTCATCGTCCAATTAGAGTACATTTTCAGAATTTATAACTTCTAAAACTCCTCTTGCCCGTAATGTTACTAACAAGAAAACTTTTTCGGAAAAAGAAACAGGTTAAACAGTAGCTAAGTACAGTGGGCCTCCATGAGGGTTTCACTTCTCCCATCCTCGACAGCATATAAATAAAAATAAAGCAGATATGTAAAGCTAACCAGTGAAAATAATTGCAAATAAGTTATATAAGGGTTGAACCGTAACTGTTAAACTATAGGTAACCGAAACATTAGAATTAGAACAAACCACAAATAACTGAAAACAAATGAAGCAACTATTATGTGAAACCAACAAATGGTTTGGAACTTTGGATTGTAGTTATACAATTATTATTTGATGACGATGTTAAGAAATGTGCTTAGGTTGATGTAATTATTCAATAATATAATTAGTCTGATTAATGGTTAAAAATATTAGATAACTTTGAAGTATGGGCCGATGTTGTGGAGTATGGAACGTATTTTCGCAGTTGGGACTTGTTGGCAATGTGAAGTTTGCTTTTGGTCTTTTTTTTGCAGCATCTGGAAGTATTCCATAATTAAATGAAATATCCGGTGGAAACATTAAACAAACAGAGTCTCTCATGCGAATTTGTCGGTGGAATTAGTGCGATATGCGCTCAGCACTTCTGTTTGCATTATGAACTCCAATCTTGAAAGCGATTCTGTTTTACAAATACTACCTATTTCGTTAAACAAGCACGAATTCGATACTACGTGGACACATTTTACAGTATGATGGCGAATTACTTTTATTCCGTCTATCTGCAAAAAGATCAGCGGACGCAGTCGATGCTGTTGCTGATGGCTCCTAGCTACTGCTGCTACTGATATAATTCGCTAACGAACACGTTGAAACACAAACAGACTGATGTTATTGATTCTTAATTAATTAACTCGTTGCGGATGCTAAATAGAAATTGATATTTGCTGATAAATGCTTGTATTTAATTACACACAACACTCTGCAACAACCGCAGCTTTGTACTATAAATGTTTAAGTTTAAAAATTTACCTCTCTGGCAACATTTGTGTATCAGAAATTATTGTGAAAGTCCAAGTACCTTTTTAGGATTTTGTGATAAAAAGGGCCAAGGCTAACAATAATGCCATTCCTAGTTATGATAAAACGATGTAAGACCCTTATCGTTTGTAACTACTTATGTGGGGGAATCCCCTTGTTTTTTTTATGGTGAACCATCAAGATTATTATCATAATTTTATTATTTAGTAACAATAAGGAAAAAGTCACTGTAACAATAATTTGAAAGCGCGGTTTAAAATGCCATTACTAGTTATGATAGAACAAATTTAAAACCTTTATAGTTTGTAACTGTACGGGGAAATCCCCGTATGTTTTTTGTGGTTAACCATCACGACCAGATTTTTAGTGTTTCGCGGCGAAAACGAAAGAGGCACTGTAACAATAATTTGAAATTTTAACCGTTTAGTTTGTAATTATATGGGGGAATTCCCGTATTTTTTTATGGTCAACCGTCAGGACCTATTTCGTGTCATTTGCATGATACTGCGGATTTAAAATCTTCTATAAGTTCACGTTAATTTGTTTTTCCCAAATCAGTAGCTGAGTTGGCAAATAATTATTATCCTCATTCACATTCGTCAAATCACGAAGTGCGGTTTCATATTTCCAATGTCCGTTTTGTCCGAATTTTCGAAACTTTAAAGTTTTTGAATATGAATTGAATTTCATTTGTAATATTATTCATACATTAACAGCTTCTTCCTCCTTTGAAAACTTAAGTTGCTTGCTTTAAGCTTATTTTAAGTAGGTGGATAGTTGAAGTTTTCAACTTCAGCTTCTTATAATGTAATAACTTAATAGGTTGAATCGGATAATACCCCCGCGTTTTACTACTGAAGCAGTTTATCTCTTTGACTAAAAATTATTATTATTAAGGTTCAAAGTCGAAGAACTAGAAACGATGTAAATCAACATTCATGGAAAAGGAGAGCAATTTGCAATGTGAACATGGTAAATTACAAACATAATCATAAACAGTGTTGTTAATGACATGAAGTGAGTGTAGTTTAGAAATTTATTAGAGTCATAACACGAATGGTAGACTATTTTGTAGCCTCAAATGTTATCATTTGTAAGTTCTGTTTCGATTCACACTGTTATTTTTCCAGACCGTAAAAATTATAACTTTAAATTCGAAAACAAAAATTTACCGACTACTTATTCTAACTTCGCCTGTTTGAATGTCGTTTTTGTCGAAGAAGAAAAGCAATTCCATTTTTCATTTTGGTAAGCAATATGATCTTTTTGTTTCTTTCACAATTTGTTTCCACACTGTTTGCATCTGCCCGTTCGTCGGCGAACTTTTGGGAATTCTTTTCAAAGGTTTGCTGCGATAAACACCAAACTTGGACGGACTAGACAATGTATACTTTCAAATTTTGTGGAACGCTAAACATTATAAATATTTAAAGAGTCTCAAAACTTTTCCAGTTGCATGCTCCACCGTTACCGTCACAAAATGTCAAGCTGCTCTTCGAACCCTGCAAGCATTTCCTTTCTTCAAGCCAACATGCCTTTGTAGAGAACCTCACGTCGACCCTGAGTGCAATTCCTTCAGAGACTTCCTTTTCGACCATCCCTGCGTCTTCGTACTGAAAAAGGGTAAGTTTTTTTTTCTGTTTAAAATGCACCCGTTCAAAAAGCCTGTATTACAATTTAATTTTAGTGTCACTATTTAAATAGGAAGGGTTATTATTATTCAAATCCACCTTTGTTCATCATTATTCAGTATATAAATGTAAATGAATAGTATAAAATAATTCGAAGTGGTCTGTATTCTGTCGAAACTGCCAGACGCGGATCGCGGTTTCGATCTTTTTGGATCTCATCAGCGCGGCGCAGGCAGCTCGACAGAACACAGACCAACTTTTACCTGCTGCCTTAACAGCGCGTTTTAGAAAATGCGACAAATGGCGCTGTAAACGCCATCTGTAGTACAATGCTACATTTTAGGATTAGATATCTACTTGCTGAAACGAATCCCGGCGTAGCTCACCTCAACGTGGTAGGCACGTTACCATAATCGAATAAAATAAGTAAGTAGATATCCATATATTTAAATGGACCTTGCTGAAGCATACGTAATCCTAAAATGTAGCATTGTACTACAGATGGCGTTTACAGCGCCATTTGTCGTATTTTCTAAATGAATAGTGTTTAAATCCAAGGGGTCAATATAATTCTAGTGGCTTACAAAGTTTTTTAAAATGTTGCTTCCAATTAATAATAAATCATAATTGGAATTGAAAATACCGTTTCAACCAATTAATTTAAATAGCTTCTAAACAGTATTATTCGTTTATAATAAACTTTGTCGGTTGAATGGTTTTTATATGATTAGTTACCGGAATAATGGCCGATAATGAAGTTATATGTAAATACGAAAAATTTGAATTGGTTGATGTTTGCCTTGCTTTGAGTTGAACGCATTAAAAGTTTGATTTGCAATTGAGATTAATAAAGGTTGTCAAATTGTGGCTCGCTAACTAAAGCGAACATTGAATTAAATTATAAACGTAACTATTCAAATGCAATGTTATGTAATTTATATGCAGTTTACGTTTCAATTGTATAATGGAATTTTGTGGAATTTATAAGAGTTTAAACACTTATTTCTATGCATCACGGAAAGTTTTGTTGCGATTCGCAACTTTGAATATATTTAAACATGAAATAGTCAATAAATTGACCTTAATTTTTTAACATTCCAATTAATTCAGAACGAAACTTTCTAAATTTATAAAAGCAATATATATTAAACAAAAACTATATCCCTGTTAATATGGTAAATACACCGCATATGCCAAAGGTGTTTGTTCATATATTATACATGATCATATTCAAACAGGACCTCTCGACTTGGAATTAGTATGGTAAATGTAATTGAGTGCAGAAGGATCTATCATAGCATTCCTAGGTAACCAATTCACCTAGTTAACTCCATCTCTCCGAAATGATACTAGGTTATGGTTCCGTATGTGAAATACCTTAACACTAAAACTGTTTAAGGATTCGCATGAACTTTAATTTGAAGAGGTCCAACTGTTGTATATTGAACAGGAAGGAAATTGATGGCATATTTGTGTTTTAAATGTTGTACGAATAATCGATTATTGTGTAGGTACACTTTTATGTTGAGTTATAACGAAAAGCTTGTAATTAGATGGAACATCTAAACTGGAACTAATTCTGGAGTTGTTAAAAAAGATTTTATTGTTTCGAACAGACGCGAATTGTAAGCGCTATTTCATTTCGGTTCAGATCTTTTCCCTTTTCTAATTAGACTACTTAATATAGCCGGCAGACCGCGTTCAAGGGTGTAATAAAAAAAACTAGCTTTTATATACTTTAATTATGAAATCTACAGTCTGTGTGCCTAGATACTATTTTTAAGATAACTTTGGATTAACGTGGTAAGTACGTCACTATCGCCATTGTCTTTTTTATTGACAGCCATTGAAAATTTAACCATGAAACCTATTTTAATTAGGACAGAAAAAGAGGATTCGTTTCGTATTATGTTATTGATTAGTTATTTCTAATTAAAATTAGTATTTTGGGATGGCTGAACTTTAATATGATATTTGCCGAGTGTTTGATGTGCAAGTAGCAAGCCTCTGATGTACTGCCAACTGTTACAGTTACACTTATAGTTATTCGTCCATTACAATTCAATTCTACGCACGGTTCCTTGTCGTTCGTATGGTTGGCTGAACTTATTAACTACTAAATATGACGTCATTTCGAACTTAATATATAAGGAGCATTAGGACAATATGCACGGTTTTATGCCTTTATTTTGAAACGGAGCTAGATAAATAATTTTCTTGTGTTACTTTAAACTTTTCAGGATAGAGCAGATGCAAAATAATTTAATAACTTCCTTGAGTTCTAGACAGGGACCATCTCGAAATTCATAAATACGAGACCATAAAGTCATTAACCGTCGAGATTATTCAAATAGCTTGTGTTCCATTTTAACGCTTATCTCCGGCTCTAAATGCTTTATTTGGCGATCGAGATGTTCTTACACGTAGATTGCTTTGGCGTTTAAAACCCATTTAGGTACCTCGTTAATTTTAATTGAGCGCAGGCTACGTCAAGACAGCAGCAGCGGACATCCTAGGTAAGGGGGTTAATAGTTCGTTTATGATTTCTTCCCTAATACTAGCGTATGTCTTAGGGGAAAAAAAAAACAGAAAGAAAGAAAATTTTCAGATTGCCGTCATTCGCCCTTGATGTTTAGATACACATTTTTCATTTTTTCTTTTGTAAGTACTTGCTTTCCTTTTTTGTTACACTGTGTATTATATCTCCCTTTATTCTTTCACATCACCGACAATACACCAAATGCTAATGGGGACGTAGGGTGATGTTGACAGTAATTTGAAGTAACTCCATAAATGTCACTTCAACGTGCCACCTTCACAAATTGATCTTACAAAGGAGTCAGCAAGGTACATCGCATCACTAAAACGCTTGACAGAAAATATGATTAATTTATAAAGTCATTTACTAGGCATACAGGGCGTCAAGGTGTTCGGCTAATTCTTCGAAAATAAGATGAAATAAATGTTTCCCTGTGATGAAATCTGATTGGTTATGTCATGTTGAAAGCTTAATAAGTAATTGCTGCTCCTTATCAAGGCGAAGTTTAAATTTGGTCATCGAAAAGTCTCTGAAACATATGTACAGTTCGGACGTTCAAAATTGGCACAAATCGCAATAAAACTGCCCTTTTTACTTTCTTCTTTCGACTTTCTAACTATACTAGAGCGGTCGCTGACAGAACGCCTACTTTTACACACGAGATGTAGGGAATATCGTAAACATAGAAAAGAAATGCCAGGTAGGAATTGCAGCGGACTCTAATAAAGAAAAAGGAATAACATTACAAGCGCAATTTGAGTATGTTGCCAGCATCAATCAATTTATATGTTTGGATAGTACTTTCGGTAAATAAATTTTCAATCGTACCGCAAGAAACGTAGTGTATCTGGAATTTGAAACCTCTCATCAACAGTGACGTGTTTCATAAAGTTTGAAACATACCTAATATGTCTCATAATACCAAAGAAATTTTACAAATTAGTTGCAACGTCCACGTCCTGATAATAAGTTTGAACAGGATGTAACTATTAATTTATTTTGTTTACAAAACACACAAAGTTATATTATTAGTTTATCATGAAATTACATTTGGATGAAATTAAATATGTTCATATACACCATATCGACATGCATATGTAGATAGAAAAGTTAGTTCCACTTGTTTCGGTTTTTGATCGAAAAAGCTTCATATTCATGGCAAAAAAAAGTTATTGTTTGCGTTGAAATTGGTGTTTCGAATTGAACGACTGGCATAAAATTAATTCGCAGTGCGAAGCTCGATGTAGAAACTAGGAAATGACTTTTTAATCTCTTGTGCTGCAGATTTAAACTTTTACACTGCATTAACAGTAGAAATTTATTAGCGACCCTTGTTTGGGTTACATCAATTTATCACCCCTAGGTCTCTAAAACAGATTGTACTTGTGTACAGTTACTTGGGATACGAAATGTGTGAAGATCGGAGATAAATTTCATTTAACAAATTAATTCTTCACGATCCTGAATAGCTTCTTCTAATTTTGTATTTTAATTCCGAATTTTATTGTATGCACGACAGCTCACGTCATCTCAAAACTACTTATTTATTTAGTAAAACTTAAGCTAAATTCTAATCTTTTAAAGAATAAAAAGAAAAGCATCACGAAGTTCTTTTCTGGTAGAAGAGTTTTCAATTAATTTCTCATAAAGTTTCCTCAACTAACTTCTTTAAACAAACTGGAAGGAATATTTTAATTTCCTTGAGTGCTATTTCATCGATAATTATGCCTGTCTTTCATGCACAAATTTAATTACACGGTATACAAAAATAAAATTGAAACTTAAAAGTGCAGCGTTAAAGATAAAAAAAAGAAAATCGAAATTGCTTAGTACTAGGTACCTATAGAGGTATCATCAATTATGCTTATTAAAATTTTAGTGTCCTGGTTGTTACGAATGATGGAACACATTGTGGACTATATATATATTGCAAGAAAACGGTAATTGGCAATTAAATTAAAAATTTCTGACAGAACGAATGCACTGAGATTCTTTCGGAGCGAAACAAAATTTCCGGTAACTTCTCTTTTAAATTCACCAGAGTATAAATAGGTTGTAGGTAGGCAGAAGACGCATTTAAATTACCTTTGAGAAATGTTAACCAGCGGTAGCTATCTTCAGATATATCTAATGCTTTGTGATTTCTGAAAGGGCAACTCTTTTATATAAAAGATACTTAGGTACAGTAGATCGGATTATATGCCTCAGTGGCCTATTCACATATTGTATAGTACAAAAATGAAAACTAACATGCTCAATTAAAATATGGGGTGATATCTGTTAGCAAGAGAATGGTCGTCAAGCTGGCCTAATAAAGGGACCATGGTCAAATATTAAGAGCTCGTAATTATATTTATCAATTTTTTAATATTCTCATTTGAGATTTAAGAAACGAAAATAAGAGTAGATAGAATCCATTGGTTCATCATTTTAATTTTGTGTAAGGGGTTACCTATGAAATTACTTAACCAATGGAAACATCTTGAATGGTCCTTTTTGCATAGGTTTGCTATATCCTATTGTTTGAAATAAAAAGTTGTAAAAGTTTTACAGTTCATGTTCAAAACAATAATAGAATGTCTAGGGTCTAGGGTCTAAGGGCCTAAAGAAATGTATGTTTACATTTTTTGCCATCAGAAAAGGATCCTTATCCTGTTGACGCCTTGCCAACCTGCAACTACGCATTGTCAGTATGTCAAGAAGAACGAAAATGTATAAAACTTTTCGAAGACTTCAAACTCCACTGCAAAGTGCGGGAAAACAAATGCCGAATGGATAACAGGTAAGCTACATAAAAATTGAATAATTTTGAATTGTAATGTCTACTTTATAAAAAAATTGAATGTCAATCTAACAATTGAAAAGTCCATCCGTTTAATCATTTTGTTTCAGTATTTATAAGTGGCTTTTTAATTTCAGGAAATTGTGTCAAGAAGCTTGGGCAAATCTTCACAGATCACCTATGTTCGGCTGCATCTGTCCCAACAACAACATGAAAAGGAAATGTGATCGGATTTTCAGCCTTGTCAACCATAATCCCTGTATTGGTAAGCGTTTGGGTCAATTTAATAGCTTTGTAGTCAACTGTTAACTGCGACATGAAAGAGTTATGAATGCCACCTTCTATCCTACTTCATCATCATTAATAGATACAAATTTAGAAATATAAATAAAATTGATTCATTTATGAGGAGGTTCGGGAGATGTAATTCTAGGAGACACATATGCAAAATCTAATTAAAAATAAATGCCATTATTAAAAATTGTAAAGTTTCACAATTTTATAAAAACGTTAAAAAATCACGATGGTGAATTTTTATAAAAAAGTTAATCATAATTATTGTCAGGAGTATTTTGTTATAAATACTTTGTTTTCCCCTAAATCAATTCCCACCGTTCCCTTTTGCACTATATAGCATGTCTGTTGCATTGGAACACTTTTACTGTCGAAATAAATTCAGAAACGGAAAAAATCTTCGCAATAGAAAAATCGTAATTAGACAATTCAGAAGCTTATTGAACAATTTCTGTAATTTCCTATTATTCATAACTGGGAGGCAGTTTTAAATGGAATTTAAACTAGAATCAATGCGATTTATTAGCAGTTTTTAAATCGAGTTATGTGTGAGGATACTTAATAACTATAACATACGAGCCATAATTACGCAGAATAGAATAAAATAATGTCGTGGCGACATTTAATCCTTCTTAATCAATCTTTAAACTTATACTAAAAAATTTTATAGCACGCTTCTTAATTGAAATCATAACGTAAACAATCTCGTAAACAAATAACTAGACGCAAACTTTCAAATCTTTCTCTTTCTTTCAAAATTAAACTCTTAAAAGGTGGTAAAAGATATAAGCTTAAAGCTGCATCTCATAATTACAGTCTATTTCAATTTGTTAGAATTGTGACCTTGAAGAAATCTGCGCGAAGATAGAAAGAATACACACTAGGCGTGAGTAAGACAGAAATAGTTGAAACGAGCTTGAACAAGCAGAGCTCTCGATGGGCGGTCTTAAAACATCGGCTAGAACTGTACAGTACTAGACGAAAATGTTTAGCAATTTCTTAAAACAAAAATGTATATAAATTAACAATAGAAAACAAAGCAAATTCTTAAATATTATCGAGGCAGTTTAAATAATTTTGCAAATTGTACTGTACACTTTTGTCTAGTTCTGTAGAAATATGATTGAATTTGGAAATATGCTACGGCGCATCCTAATAAAGGGAAAGGGCATATCTCCAACTTCTTGAAACGAACAGTAGTTAGGTACATAATTAGTCTTCAAAACTAAAATGTTGAAAAACTACTATTAATCTTTATTTTTGTTCCCAAGAAATAATAAAAACTGATTTTAAAAAATAAATTGATTACATTTGACGTGCCGTTTGCGATTTATTTTTATTATTTATTTCCCAGTTATGAATTAAAAAGAAAAAAAAATTAAATATAAAATTAGCTGCATGTCGATTATAAATTAAGCTTGTTAGAATTAGAGTATGTATGTTGCAGAATATCTTCCGAATTCCTCTGTCTCAGAACTATCCCGTAATTCGAACAATTTCCACAAAATATTCTGGTCACCCTTATTATCCTTGCGTCCGATGTTTTCGTTTCCCTCTTCAACAGCACAACTACCTTCGCACGGCACCGCTAAAGCCTCAGGCACTAAGCGCACACCCTATCACCAGCACTCTGACTCCCATGAAACCGTAGAAGAAAAACTCGGCACCACTTTCGATATACCAGAGCTCGACGTACAGGGTGAGAGCGCACTTTTTAGACCACTTTTTTTTAATTTCTTTTTTATTGCTCTTTTTCTCTTGATTAGATAAAATAGATATAAAGAAATAATTGAATAGAAACCCAGGCGACACAAATCCTAACTAATATTATAAATGGGTTTGTTTATTTGTTACCATTTGACGTATTAACTACTGAACCGATCATCTTGAAATTTTGTACATATATTGCCGGGGGTACCGAAAAGGACATAGGGTACTTTTTATCTAGGAAAAAATGGTGTTCTAAGAGATAGAAGGGTTAGTTTTATGTGGTCGTCGATGAGCTTTGACATGATTTAAATACGTATTAAAAATATTCTTTTACAGTAATTGTTAAATTGTGTTATCTGTGCACTTTCTGGCTCGTCCTGTATCGTATTCTTTCAATTACATACATTTGTATTGGTTATGAGTTTGAATCGCAATTTCTGAAGGAGTCAACTTGAGCTACATTTACTAATTAAATCGATAACTACTTGATACAACATTTACCATAGCGGTTAACTTCGATTGAGTACTCAAAGACTGTTATTGCTGAAATAGCGAGTCTAGGTTACGTTTCGAAGAGCGACTGCTTGCACTTGAAAGAAGAATCATCATCCTTGGCTAAAATATTGAATTTCAAAAACTGCTGTAAAGCATAAATGAACTTGCTGCATCTTCGATTATACATAAAGGAATTGCTACTCGTTATAATAATAACTAAAACGCGAAGTACGTAAAAAATATTTACAAAGAAAAGGACTCGTTTACCAAAACTACTTTTGTTACTGAATAATCCAATTATTAAATCTGTAACTTCGTTATCATAACTAAATGTTTTGTGTGTGAGGTTCATCGTTCAATTTTTACAGATGAATAACCTCAGTCACAATGTCAGTGATAACATGTTTCAATTCCTTCTACAATGGCAACTGTACTGTCCTATATTATAATTTAATTATTATCCCATACAGTATCCTCAAATTGCTATTTATGTAATGATAAAGTTCTCGAACTTGCGCTTGAATGACTTACATCAATTCACTTTAAGAACCAATATAGTCATAATAGTCATATTGAGAAGGCCATTAGTTTTCTGATTATGTGTATATTTATAATTGCAATAGAAATATATAAATAAGTAGTAAGCAACTGATTTTACATGAAATTATAAGTTGTTTTAAAAAGAAAGTTATTGAAAAAAAGAGGACTATAATAAAATTTTGTACTAGATACTACTCAAAACAAGAAAACAACCGCTGTAAAAATAAGGTAAGTTTGTCTGTAACTAGAATAAGTTGCGAAAGTGCTTCTATTTTTTATAACATAATCCAAGAAAGAAGCAAACATTTAGTTATTTCTCACATAGAATAAATTTAATATTTTATAAGTAATAAACAAATATTACGATTTTCTTTTGGGCAAATGGCGACCACCCAAAATCTTATCGAAATCAATTATACACAATAAATTTCCCTTAACATTTGTCCAATCTTGTATCATGAACTTGCTTTCTTTCTCATTTGCTTATAATTGTTATTGTACATTATTACAAATAATTGGTAGAAATTTATACTATTGACGTAAAAACTTACGTAAATCTTTTCACTAACGTAGTTTACTTATCATATTTTATATATAATATTAGATAACGTATTATATCATTGGCATGATGTTCACGCTTGCAACTTCAACTATTTTCTTTTACTTGATAACTAATGCAAAGTTTCTATTAGGAGGTGCCTATTGAATGTTGTTTAAAACTCTATAAGGCCAATAAAAAGATTATTTATTATTGAGGTAATAATTCCGAAGTAAAAAAAACTTTTAACGTAATTTTTTTAAAATGGATTTGAACCCGTTCTAGGTATAAAGACCGTGTTTATTCACCAAAATTACGTAACTAAACGTACGATTTGTTAAATGTAATTGTGGCTGTAGAAATTCCTTACAACGAAATTAGTTCGCTGATGCAACTGCAACTTCAGCTTTCCGTTAGAATGGAAATCTTTAGAGTACGTGATTTCAAATCCATGGCAAAACAAGCTAAAATCTTCCAACCAAAATTATCTCTTAACTGCAACGAAATATTTCCTTCCAGCCACATACACCGAGTTACGTCATATTTACCTCTGCATACTTCTACTCATATTAAATTTGTATACTTTATGTCAACCCATATTTGAACTCTTATTCCACTCTAAAATGTACTTAAAGGAAAATTGCATTTTAGACATATTACACAGTAGATAATAGGTAAATAGGTGAATGTTTGCAGTGATATTTTTGTCATACAAATTTTTAATAATCTATTCTCAAGACAAAACGAATTCCTGAATTATTATTAAAAATGTGTAGCCTGGGTTATCCTTTATAAACGCGTGTTATGATATTTAAGTAAAATTAATTTAATACATCAGTGGATATTATTGGGATCCGTCAAATGGGAGGAGCCTAAAAACATGGCGCCGATTAGGGAAAACTTATCGTAGTTCCTATAGTGTACCGTGCAATTTCCAAGTTTTTAAATTACGATGAAATGATAAGTATTGACACAATATGTGATTGGGCTGACACAAAGCCTCGGAAAGGAAATTTCGTTGAAGGTGAGCGTGTTTTTAATGCCAATCACATTATAAAATTCGGAAATAACAAATCCGGAAGCTAGCCTTCAAATTCCGTCAAGTTTACTTTTTACAAACTTCGGATTTAAAAAGTGACTGACGATATATAATTGGTGACGTGATTCTGGGTGATTTAAGCAATATCATATCAACGACTTGCACGTGCAAAGCCGATTTACGAGAACGTTGCAAACACATTAGGTATTGCAACTTTGTTGTATTGCAGCAGGTAGGTTCTTAACCTCAAAATACTTATATCGTATCATTAGAATTGTGTTAAATCAATTACACAGGAATAAATAATTTCTCACTTTATAATTTTAGTATGATTCTAGTTTTAAATATTAAGGTTATGGCTGATGGTAAATACTTGCTGAAATATAATCATGTGCATTAAAATGACGTGAACAAATTTTTATTCCGGAATTCACTTCTTTGATACCTACTGGTTTCATCCAAGCTTCTATTAGTTTACTTTTCTCTCTAATTTTCCGAATATATTTTTTACATATTTAAAACGATTAGTTTTTATTGGAAAGTAGTTAATGTAGGTAAAGAGTGAAGATCTATGTCTGAAGTGCTATTGCAGCTTTTCACTGAACATATTAACTTTTTATTTGATTTAACTTTAGAAGAAAACTTCGTCAACTCCATCATCAAAAAATTTTTTACTTTTTTAACGTGTTTTATTTTAATAAACAGTTTTACAATTTGCGTTCACAGTTCCTATGTAAATTTTTCCCTCATTCGAGTTATACATTTTGCCACTAGATGGTGTATGCCCACTTGACGGATCCCAATAGTTATATTAAAATGGATAATAATTGAACCAACAGTCCAAAAATGGACATTTCGATGAGCAGATAGCGTTTACGAAATGCTTGGGTATACATTTTTTTTTACAAAATATTTCAATCAAAATTTATAATTAATATTTACCCAATAGCATAAAAGACTTTGTTCCTACAACACCACCTAGCTTATTCGATTTTATTGTCAGTAGGGAGGTATTTTTAGTGAATTTTAATAAAGACATTAACATATTTGTTTCATAACGTCTGGGAAAAACTTACTACAAACATTTTGAAATACTTTCTCTCTATGTAATGGTACTAAAAACAGAAAGAAGTGTGGATTATTTGAATAAATCTGTAAGTATTTTGACGTAAGCTTGTGTTCTGACGATTTCAAGAATTTGCCAATTTGTACATAAATAAATCGTGCAAATTAAAGGTTTTTACTGCTGCTTCTTTTGCGTTATTTTGGTGTTATGATTAGAGTGCGTTACTTTAGTTAAAGTAATTTCAGCGTCGGAGAGTTCGTCAACTTCTTTGGGCTATGGTCTAGGGAATGCCGTATTAGAAAACCCGCTTGTTGACGCGGACAATGGTCTTGAAGCCCATACTAGCACGGATCATATTACTGAGACCGTTTTAAGCAACAAACCCAAACACAACCAGGTCGCCGTCAACTCGACGATCGAAGAAGATTTGGATAACAAACACTCTCCACACCATGCACACAGGAAATTCACAAGTAGGTATACAACTACAATCTGGATGTGCTATACATGTGTTCCGGACCCTAAATAGGCCAAAACTCTAGCAATTTACACGAAATTGTTGTTATGAAAGGACCTGCTCCTAATTCATTACATAGCCTGTCCAACAACAACCAAAAGGACAACATCTTTCGTTATATTCTTTCGAGTGTAACTGTTTGTTCAACTACTTGGTTAAAAAAGAAACTGTTTTCGGTTTCAAAATGTAATTAAAAAAATAGATTGAACTGTCATCTGTTCTGAAGCGGTTACATATCATAAAAGAAACCGTAATACCAATTTTATCATATACATTTCGAGATTCACAAATTAGTACTAATTACTAAACGGAATCATCTTATCATCCATATTTATAGTATTTACGTAATAAGTTTACAAATTTTTTTCGTCAGTTTAATTAATTTATTGGGAGGATAAAATATGTCAGCCTGTTGCTGTAGGAATTTGAAATAAATGGATTTCTATTTCGCCTTCCTAAATTGAATAGAAGCAGGTATTGTAAGATTAAATTTAATTTTTCATAAGGAATGACAGTGAAGTCTGAATTGCTTGAATTTTTATCTCAATTTTTGCAGCCCCATTTCCTTTTAAATCATTTATTGCGCCTAGAAGTTTTTGATTGTATATCAAGAGTACGTAAGCTAAAATCTGATTTATTGATTTTTTACTAATTAATTCTGCAATATGAAAATAAATTCGGAATTGTACAAAGGGCCCTCTCTCTCTCTCTCAATCATTATTTCATCTTTTTAAAATGGTAAATTCAATTTAAATCGAAATCACGAATGCTAATCTAGATAGCCAGATTTATTTTGAGATGCATGCTGGCAAATATTTACCGATAGAGATAGTAAAAATGGATAGAATTTTTTCAGCACTGCACCTGTTAAAGCACGTAGAGAAAAATTGCATGATTTTCCCGATGATTACCACACTTCTTATGTCTTTTATCTTACTTCAACCCTTCCTCGTCGATCCTGATAATTTTATTAATAAACAGTTTTAATTTCAAAAACCAAAATTACACAGGCAACATATTGCAGACTAAATAGAAACGAAAAAGAATTTTTGTGTGGTCGCCACAAACGTTAAACATGACTTCAAGTCGTAAGGACATACAAAAAATATTTGTATTTATTTTACAATTTTTAATGTAAAATATTGTTTCAACTGTTTGGTTTGGCGTTAATATGCTGCGAAATCCCATCGGACGCCGGAGGAATTGAGCAGAAGGGAGTAAAAAATGCTTCCTTTTGATGGGGGGAGATTGAAACTTTTCGCAAGCTTCGTATAAGAACGAAGCTTTTCCGAACCCCTTCTATTCCGCGCTGAGTACTTATTATATACTACTAATAGAAAAGGGTTTTTTAAAATTTATTTTGGTTTCCGCATTTTTCCCATTCGGAAGGAAGCTTTTCCTACTCTCCCTTACTCTTCTCCTACCCTCGCGGGTACTGAAACAATCCCACCTGTTTCCTTATTCTGTCCTTCGTGATGTCTCTTTAAAAATTAATTTTATAAAAATATTTCCTCCGGTATTCGAAAATAATACCTCCAATAAAAAGTAGAATAAAGCATACCCCTTAATTGTAAAATAACAAAATGAATATAATCGAATACGGTCGAGCGAGAAAAATATTATTAACGGGGAAAGCCCTGGGGCCAAACCAACAGCATTTTATCTAGAACTCCTGAGAAATCACACATTTCGTTTTATGGCTGGGTAGTTTCCAGCAGTCTTCATTGAACTTAGTTTCTCTTATAGATTGCTTGATAAGGAAATTTGTTTTTTTTACGTCCCCAAGTTACGTGCAAATCTATGACACTTAATCGTAAAATGAATTATAAGTTTGGAACTCAAAGAGACAAGAAAATATAAAAAAAGAACAGCTTTAAGTACAGAACTTTTTTTATTTATTACACAGTATTTAGGACAGATTCATTCGGGGAGATTATGGCCGTCATTGTATAATAAATGGCAAAAACGTGAATGTTTTTAACACTTTTTAATTTCCTGGGACGTCGTATTATACGACCTGTAGGTACGAATGTTTCGGATCGAGAGAATGTATTGTACGTAGTACCTATCAGATTTCGGGGAAGACCATGAAAAATACCAAACACCTTTAACTGAATACGATATAAATTTGGCACGTTTCGAACGATTATTGAAGCAATTTACGAAATGTCGTGGGCGCCCGTTATTTTCTCTCGAATAGGAAATAGCAAATTACTCAGAGATGACTTTTGATTTCTTCTTACACTAAATTGCCTCGAAACGATTGTATTTTACGAAGAGACTTTGCAAGAATAATAAACACGAAATCAAATCAGTTATTCCATTGTATATAAAGATCAAATTTACAAGCAAATGATTTACGAAATGACTGAATACACTGAAGAACATAGAAGCGTAACGGTTAATAATCTTACTGAAATAAAATTAAATAATAATTTATTAATATTCCTGGTTTGGATGATACTTTAGCGTTAATAATACTGATAAATATTTACACGTACCTACGCTTTTGCGACTGCTACTATATAATTTATCTTTACGGTTTTACAGGTTCTTCGAACGAAAATTTTTCGGAACCGGGTGATGTGATGAAAATAATTTATCAAAGCACTTGTCATTTAGCGCTAGAGAGTTGCAAAAGTGATTACCAATGCCGTATGGCAATTCAACCAATTCTTACCCACTGTGACATCTCAAAGTGCAACAGATATTCCTGTATGGAAGCGCTACAAGCATTTTATAGGAAAGCCTCATTCCCATGGAACCTAGAAGTCGCGTTCTGTTTATGCAAGTAAGGGCACCTTCTGTACTTTGTATGTTTCTTCCAAATTTTTACATGTACGAGGTGATTTCCGTGTTGTTTCATCATGGTCTATAAAATTCTCAGTTCATCGCCATCAGTTACCACTGAATATGCTATCAAGTGAAAAATTCTATGGACTATGGTCAATCAGTCTATTTTAATTAGAGAAGATACTGAAGCTACATAATTTTATTTTTTTGTACAGAAAAACTGATGATAAACATGACGCGTGTATGATTGCGCAACAGAAATTACATCCCCTATGTGCGCAAAGGGTTGAAGGCTCGCCACAACCGACCTGCTTGTCCTTGGCCGAATCGTGCAGAGAAAATCGAGAATGCAGGTACGAAGGAAGGACAAAAATCCACCCATATCGTTGCATTATTAAAAAAATACTTTTTATTATTCAAGGTCCCGATTGGAACAATACGAACAGGCATGCGCAGTGGATAGCTCCACGAAAAAGTGCGCCGGGCCGCCATCAGAATGCAGAGCAGCCATGTTGGGCATATTAGGCACCGAACTAAGAGCGACATGCGCCTGCAAAGGTACCGATCTGACCCAATTGTACGAATGCTTAGGTTGGCAGAGACTCCTATGGGTCAATCCATGTGTTGGTAAGTCGCAATAAACTTTTTACTTTTAAAAGCGTATAATTTTAAGGTATGAATTTGTAAGTCAACTTACAATGTTGCTGTTTTAGCGGAGAAAAATTGAGGTAATGTTCGTTTGAAAGTTTGCACGCAACAAAAGATATATTTACGATAAAAGTGTGTTTTATTTATGGAATAGCATTGATGACCTTTTTAACGTTCGATAAAAAAAAAGGACGTAATTCTTGCTAATTTTTATTATCGTTATATTAGACGCTGCAACGGTATTAGCCACTTGTAATATTAGCTTCATAGTTGATATATTAAAATCGTTATGCATTTGCTTTCTTCTGCTAGTAGGTTCGTATGAAAGGTCGTGTGTGGAAAATTGTAAATATCATACGAAACCAACGGCTGTACTAACTACCAAGAGTACTTAACCTATTTTTGCTGTTTATTGATCTGCGGAATTTCCGTGGGTTAAGTTTTATTCTGGATATTTTAAGAGTTTTGGCGCATTCTGCTTCGAACTTGTTAATCACGACAGTGGGTTAATTACTTATTTTAGAAATAGTTATTGACAAAACACTCGTACCAAAAGGAGAAAAACAATAACAAAGATAAAAAATCACATTTCTAGTAGTACCTATATTCATTACTTATTACAGTTATTCATTTTTTAAAGTCTTGAATTTATCGAAACGATGTGCACCCTCCTAAGTAACATGCGTGACTAATTTCGGAACGAAAGTTTGCTCTTTATAAAGCACTTCAAGCCATTCGATTGGCTACTATTTAGCGCGCTTATTCGACATCCAATAAGAAACGAAAATATTTTCGACTGTAGTTTATTATTTTTTAATTTAAATTTTAAACGTTATCATTTGAATTATAAAATATCGAAAGTTTTGGAAAGAAATTATATGCGGAGCTTCGCTTAAATTAGAACTAGCTGTAGAATATCTCTTGATTCGTTCATATTCTCAGTGGATTCTCAAAAAGACTACCATCTGAAGAAAGCAATAGAGAGAGGGTTGTTGACTAGTACGGCAACCCCTCTAGTAACAACAACAGGAAGAATCAGGATGGAACCTCTCGATCAAGTAACGGTAATAAGTGTAACTCAAGCGTCTGTCCAAACAAAAGTCCACACGACGATGGAGAATACGTTACCGCCAGAAATCCCTTCGACGATCACTACAACAACTACTACAACTACTACTACTCACAAACCTACTACAACTACTCCTACAACCACTACAACAGAAGCCACAACCATTCCACCAAGTAAGTTATCTAGTAATTTTTGTTAAAAAAAAAAAAACAGGGTAAATTCGGAACGAAATTGGTACTCTGCTTGTTGGAAGGAAGCAAGTACCTACTGTTAGTAGCCATCTCTCTCCCTCTGACATACTCTGAGAGAATGAGGGAGGGATGAAGTAGGTTCGATTAATCTGCGATCTGGTGAATATTCCAATAGGAGTCAATTCAAAAAGCTTTGTCAAATAACGTAAAAAATTTCACTCCTAGTGGATGTTCCACGACATCACGGTATTTAAATTTTTTTTTTTTTTTGGTGACACATATTAGCCTGCAAACAAGACGCTTTCTGAAAATCAATGTGCTACACAATTATCCCTTATTTCTAGGATTTTGCGTATTCCAAAGGCATGATTTTCCAGATCAGTATATCAAAGAGGGAACGTCAAAGCGGGTAATTTCTATTGTAAATTTCGTTGTTAGCGCTGTTGGACAGAAAAAAAAACCTTTTATTGTAGATTTATCACGAAGATGAATCGGAATGTTCGGAAATTTGTAAATGCGGCCGATCAGAAGAATTGGTTTGCAAAACGATGTGCATTGATAGAATGCCGTGCCGGACGGAGTTTGCATTTTATAATCACGCAGCCCCCGCCTACCAGGCTTACCGTGGACGTTGTCTTTGTTACTCGGGAAGGTTTATTTGCATGAAACCTGCCCCGGGAGATTATACATTGCCTCAAGGCGTTTTCCTGTTCCTCGGATACAGTGAAGTTGATGAGCAAAAACTGAAAAACCACACTGAGATCGCCGTCAATGACGTCGTTCACGCTTTACAAGAGTTCATCACGAAGGAGGCGGTGAATGGGGTAAGTACCGGTAAAACTTTTCTCATTACTATAATCAAATTATTTCCCCGTTTATTACATGCAATATTTCCCTATGACATTATCGGCTTCTCGGCTCCGATATAAACGGCACAACGTTCCATTAACTCAAGCACGTGAGATAGATCCATAAAAAAAAAACGAAAACCTAAAATTATTTTTCCATTTATATTTTAAAATTTTTACCCGGCCTTATTATTCTTCGATAATTTCAAATATCAACTTATTATTTCTTAATATTCTGCAAAGAGCGAAATATAAACATAAAAAGGCGCTCGTGAAATTATTAGGAGATGCAAAGTATTTATTAAACTTTGAGATGAGATAATTATTTAAAAAAGTACGTAGAATCTCATGGTGCTAACCGTTTTTGAGTGCGGTGTCAAATAGGGACTTCCCGGCATTATCTTTGCTAAAATGTATACAACAATTGAAACATAAAAAAGCGCTCGTGAAATTATTAGGAGATGCAAAGTATTTATTAAACTTTGAGATGAGATAATTATGTAAAAAAGGACGTAGAATCTCATGGTGCTAACCGTTTTAGAGTGCGGTGTCAAATAAGTACTTTCCGTCATTATCTTTGCTAAAATGTATACAACAATTGAAACATAAAAAAGCGCTCGTGAAATTATTAGGAGATGCAAAGTATTTATTAAACTTTGAGATGAGATAATTATTTAAAAAAGTACGTAGAATCTCATGGTGCTAACCGTTTTTGAGTGCGGTGTCAAATAGGGACTTCCCGGCATTATCTTTGCTAAAATGTATACAACAATTGAAACATAAAAAAGCGCTCGTGAAATTATTAGGAGATGCAAAGTATTTATTAAACTTTGAGATGAGATAATTATTTAAAAAAGTACGTAGAATCTCATGGTGCTAACCGTTTTTGAGTGCGGTGTCAAATAGGGACTTCCCGGCATTATCTTTGCTAAAATGTATACAACAATTGAAACATAAAAAAGCGCTCGTGAAATTATTAGGAGATGCAAAGTATTTATTAAACTTTGAGATGAGATAATTATTTAAAAAAGTACGTAGAATCTCATGGTGCTAACCGTTTTTGAGTGCGGTGTCAAATAGGGACTTCCCGGCATTATCTTTGCTAAAATGTATACAACAATTGAAACATAAAAAAGCGCTCGTGAAATTATTAGGAGATGCAAAGTATTTATTAAACTTTGAGATGAGATAATTATTTAAAAAAGTACGTAGAATCTCATGGTGCTAACCGTTTTTGAGTGCGGTGTCAAATAAGTACTTTCCGTCATTATCTTTGCTAGAATGTATACAACAATTGAAACATAAAAAAGCGCTCGTGAAATGGAAGGTATTCATTAAACTTTGAGATGGGATAATTATGTAAAAAAGTACGTAGAACCGTAACCGTTTTCGAGTGCCATGTCAAATAAGTACATTCCGTCATAAGCAATTTTGTATTATATTTCGATTAATTTGGTTTTGATTCTTTGGTCCATCTTCTTCCACTTTTTTGGTTAGCTTTGTTTTTCTTTTCCTTTTTTCTATCTATTCATGTTTGCTCTGGTAATGTTTGTTACCTGAAACTAGGCAATTGTTTGCAGACGCTCTGCTCTCTTCATCTATACAACGTTACTCAGGAAAATGTTATAATCGCTGGAAAATTATCTCCTAAAGTGGATTATAATCTGCTCTCGCCAAAGGAAAGCCTAGCCAAAGAAAAGGTTTGTTTAATCACGCAGTTAGCGCGTGAGCGAGAAATTGCAACCCCTCAGTAGTAAATATTTTGATAATGATTTTAACATCAACTACTATCCCCCTTATCAATTAGTTTTGCACGATTCAGTAATATCCTTGCACTTGCTCCCTAGAATATAACAAATAAGTATCCAAACACCAATCGAAAATCTGTTAAAAGGCATAACAATCTGAATTTACAGGACGAATGCTCGGAATTAATGGAAACAATAACAGATCGTATAAACAACAGACATCCGGATTTTAGTTCTCATATTCTTCTATCGATTTTTAAAATGGCAGAAGTTGAATTGGTACAACTCGAACCAAGTTCTGCATGCTTTCCGCTACGGATGCAGAACAACTTCTTACTATTTGTGGTCATCTTGCAGTTATTGCTGTTTTCGTGACAAAAAAACTGCCTACCTTTCCGAACGTGAATGAGATAATAAACGAACAGTACTTAATATTCAAAACGTTTAGCTGAAAAATGACACCTGTAAATACTAACCATGTCTGTGTGTTGGCTGTTGTTAGAAATGTTTATAGTTAACGACAATTAGCAGCTTATAATGTAAGTGTCACAATTTCATGCACTCGCGTGAGTTGTTTAACTGTTCCTTAATATCCTTACAATGAAGCCTGGGTCATTCGGGAAAATATACCTACAATACTTTAAAGGCAGAAGTATTCGGAAAGGGCCGTCCATAAACTTATTTAGGACCCTAAAAGTCACACCCTTCCTTGTCGCATTTAGTTAAATTATCTTTTTTAATTTTCTGAAATTAATACCGTAATAAAATGTTTGACCCACGACACCCCTGCCCTCTTAAATGCCAGCATTCTTTATGGACAGCCCCGAACATAAGAAAACACATTGTCCAAAAAACTTTTTCTGTATTTATCAAACTTATGCGCAAGAAACAATGAACTTTTAATTCTATTATTTTTATAATTTAAATATTATGTCAAGTATTAAAACAGTTGAACTTTCGTATTTCCGTAACTAATTTAAACTATTGTTCTTCTTTAATATTGGACAATGTGGTTCTTTTAAAGTTGTCACTTCGAATTAGTAAGTATACTTTTACTTTTCTTATTTTACTGAATTAACAATTGTAGGTGGTGTACTTCTTGAAATGTACTTTTACATGTACCTAAAGACCTAAAAATAGGTACTAATCTTTATAATAATCTGTTTTTGTCGTTGATAGTACTATCATTTTGAGTTTATAATAACCGCTGTGTTATGAAAGTTAAGTTTAAAAAATGGATGTACAGAATGAAGATTGTTCAATACCACAATGAGGGGCGGATTAAAAAAAATCTGGCCTGATGCTGAAAATAGTATCAAAGTTAGACTTCAGGTCTGGGGCTGCAGCTCCACTAAACCCCTGCCTTAATCCGGCCCTGATGAATAAATANTTATTGGTTTTCATTCATATGCTTATGAGGCACCGGTGAATCTTTGACTTTTATGCATTAAAAATTATCATGTTCTTTAAGAAACCGTATTTATAACCATCTAAATCGCTCAGTTTAAACAAACAGAAGCTATTCTGACTTCTTCTAATTCTTTTTTTGTAAATTTTCAACTGGTTAAAAAAGGGTACTCTAGATTACATATTTTCGTCGAACAACGTTCGAAACTAAATACGTAATAAAATTAGGTAATAAAACAGTTGAAAAATAAAGTGTTAAAATTAAAACGTTGATAGAGCTTATTAACTGTTGTTTTCTTACTCTTATGGACAATGTAAAAATTAAATTTTGAACGTAATTAAACATATATTATAGTTTTAAAATGTGCCAATTGATCTAAAGAATAGATTTTTTACTGTTGGATTTTGACCTGTTCGAGGATTTCTTCGCGGAATATCCTAAAATATAAATTATTGCGGAACTTACAAATTACGATAACAAATGCTGATGTTCGTGGTAAATATAATACATATCAACAAAAACTATCATGTACAATCCAAAATGTCTTCCCACGATAAAGACAAATTTACTTACACACATCATTCATATAACAAAAGTAGTTGAATTGTTTCTTAAGCAAAACCAAAACTACTGGCTTAAAGTTAGAAAAATATACATACAAAATATAAACACTAATGTTACTTGCGCCGCTAGTCGAAATTATAAATAAATAATCATGTAATAAATAGGTAGCGGGCGTCGATAATCAGGGGCGTACTTAAGACTCTAAACTACTATTTCTGTAAACCTCTGTGCCAACGACTTCCGCTGCCTAGTAACAATTTTCATTAATTGATAAAAAATTGTTTCATTTATCCGTATTTCGATTTGTGGCGACACTAAAAACCTATTTAAAATGCATATCATTTAGCTTTAAAATTGCGATTTGTTTTAACTAGATAAGGGTTATTCGGCTGCTGAGCGATTCTGTTAAATATTTTTATCAATAACGACTGAACCCTCATACATATCGTTTACTAACAATAAATAGAATAACTGTTGACACAATTGTAGCGTGTAGGTATTATATTGTAACTGTGTAATAAAAAGGGAACACAAAACCCAACTCGTCAAGGAAAATATATAATAAAAAAAAAAAAGAATATCCTTAAATGTACGGTAGTTGTAGCAAGAAAAAGAAAATACAGACGAACTTTAGAATTATTGAAAAGGTACGTACTTTTCCCAATCTAAGGAAATAAAAAACTGAGCTTGATTAATATTAAAAAAAAAACATATAAATGTAGCAAATGCGAAATAATATTTGTTTGTTAGATGGCGTATTACTATGTACTACTGGTATCGTTGTAAATATCCAATCAAATTAATTAACGACACTTTCAAGTTAATCGTAACATGATGTGTAGTGTCCCCCAATAACCCCAATATACAGGGTTTCTCAAAGTTGACCCTTACCGCAAGTGCGGAACTTCCTAAATTGTTGCTGATATGAGAAAGGAAATAAAACAGATAACAACACGGTACGATAATGTAATTAATATTTAAAATATTTACTTACAGCCCACAACAAATGAAGTAAATAAATTTTTAAATATTCTAATTTCTTGTGTTGATGAAAAGTGAGTAAAGGTCGAATTTTAGTTACCTTGTATCATACATAACGTTTATATAGGAACATATAAGTACATAAGTTACTAATCACCTAGAGCACTAATTAGGGATACAATTATTAGGCGTCACATTGTTACTTATACACGATAAAAAAAATTGTGCTTATAATTGTTGCTTTCTAAGTTTTTAACGGAATGTTGTAGGTACTTCACAAGCATGACGGGCCTCAACACCAATTTTAATTAATTTTATTTGATAATGTTAATATCAGTAATACACATACATATATTTTTGCTGTATCTCGATGGCTTTAAAGCGAAAAAAAGTACGATTAACAGATTTTATCTTTTCGTCCCGTGTGCCTGTAGGTAATTTCATCTGATGCTAAAAAGTTAGGAAATTGAAGGTGCACAGGGTGTACCATTTAAGTCAATTGCATCCTTTAAAAAAAAGAGATACGTTTAATTAATCCTAAAAAAATGTTCGCGAAATATTAAATTAATATTTATCTACTCATCCCCAAAATTTGGATTACCTGTGATAGATCGCCGAGCTTTTTTTCAAATTTACATTTCAAAATAATGAAGTGAATTTGTCAAAAGTTTCGGATGTTATTTACCTAATATTTTGTCGAATTCGAACATCAGTTTACTAATAAATAACGTAAAGCTTACTTAGTACTAACAAATTGGAGCTCAACTGATTTTTTCTTATTATTTCATAATTATTACCTGCCTCCTCCGCAAGTAATTAACAGATTAAATGGAACACTCTATTTTAAGCTAAATGCATTTAATGTGAAAATGTTAGTTTAAAAGCAGGTTTTAATTTATATGTAGTGTACGAAATAATATTTTCTGTCATTGTAATTAATGGATTATTTTGGAATTGTAGCTCTTGTAGAATAACACTTATACATATTTTTTATATGTTGCGTTTTATAAATAAATTTTTTGTATTTGTAACCATGTTATTTTATACCCCAAAAAGGCACGTTTAAAAGTTGCGCTTTTGGGCATTTTCCTATAAACGCGGCATTATACAGCAGATTTTCTTAATATTATATATAAAAGCAATTATGAGTGCTGTCAGCACAGAGGGCAAAGTGGTATTACGTAAATGAAAGTTATTATCAGCAATTTCTTATGCTGAAGTGTACAATGTGTAATGTACTTTAAATTTTAATCATTAATTACTATTACATCTATTAAAAACCATAATGGCCGACATCAGTAACAATGCGACAACAATTGAAAAAGAATGATGGCCGACAACAGCAACAATTAGAAAAGAATGATGGCCGACAACAGCAACAATGCGACAACAATTGAAAAAGAATGATGGCCGACAACAGCAACAATTAGAAAAGAATGATGGCCGACACTACGTCATAGTGTTGTTC